AGCTTGCCAAATTTAGTTTATCACCCTTACTCCTGGAACAAGGTGAGCTATCTATCTGCAACAATATACGTAGATACATAACAATATTTGAATGATTTAATTTCATAAATATGTGTGGTTCTTCATTTCGTTTTATTAATTTGTAGATTTCCAACATAATATTTCTGGACTCCCCAGTCGGAACTGGATTCTCTTTCTCCAATCATCCACAAGGTTATGAAACTGGGGACAAATCTTGGTCAAAACATGCAATAATATTTCTCAGAAAGGTTGGCAAAGAAATTGGACTACATAACTGTTTTTAGTTTATGAATTATGTATTCATGATTGAACTCCCTGTTTCTTAATTTTCAGTGGCTTATAGACCACCAGCAATTCCTTTCAAATCCTCTGTATATTGCTGGTGATTCCTATGCCGGAAAGGTTGTGCCACTAGTGGTTCATAATCTTTTAAATGGTAATAAAAAACGTACGCGATGCATATTCCTCAATATTAATTTATTATTTTTTTGATCTTTGTTTAGTGATTACATTGTCAATTCCTTAACCATTTTGAACTGCAGAAAATGATTTGGAGGAACACCCAAAATTTAATATTCAGGTCACCCTTGATTACACTGATGAACAGTAAATTTTTTGAAATAGTACATACACTGAATTATTATTAGGTCTAACTATCAATTATTGCAATAATTATTTAGTTAAACATGCGGCTGTATCTTAAAAGAAAACACTAACTATTAATGTACTTTTTCTTTCCTTCATAAAGATAATAATTTGCACTATTAATTGAATGTTATTTGTATGAATTCCAATCTGCAGGGCTATGTGATTGGTAACCCATCAACAGGTGAGTTGATTGATTATAATGCTAGAGTACCATTTGCCTTCGGAATGGGGATAATTTCAGACGAACTATATCAGGTGATATTCTATTTGAAAACTTGTCGTCCAAATACTCTCTCTCTCTCTATATACACACACACATAATCACATGTGCTTCTGTACCTTGTTTCCATTTAAGGGAATTAATAAGAATTGCGAAGGGGAAGATTACGTTAATCCAAAGAGACCTCCATGTGCCTCTCTTCTTCAAATCTTTGAAGACGTAAGCATCCATGCAATCATCTCTCTCCCCTCTGCTCTTCATGTTTTTATTCATGATTTGGCTAATTCTGCCTTTAGTATTCTGCATTTTTTATTTTTGTAATTTTTGTTGCTGAAATGCATACTCTTACAATCTTATACATAGATCTAAAAAAACTGGATAAGTAATTCTAAGTTGTAGTTTTGATGAAAGCAGTCTTCTGTTATGTTGAACCGATACGGATACGGGACATGTCAATTTTTAAAAAAACAAGATATCAGTACGGCGCGGACACGGCATTATAATTTATAAATCAT